GCGCTTCTCAACTTATGACCCCTCGATGGCCTTAAACTACTTTTTCCCGGTGTCTAGAGGGCTCTGGAAGCGTTTTGCGAATTTTTTAAGTTTGGCTCCACCCACCTTGGGGCACGCTCCGCCCACAGCGGGAGTGCCTCGCACATTCCTGCATGTGATCAGTTGGGGGCCATAATCCACTTTTTTTGCGCCATCTGTAGTGCTTTAGCACCAAATTACGGTTTTTTACAATGGTCCTCGGGTTCAAATGCACGCCCCGCCCACTGTGGGCGGGCCTTAGTACTTCCGCAAACATGGTGGACTCTTGACAGATGTTCATCTTCGTCATGGAGTTTTCTGCGGCCTCTAAACATGTTCGGGAACCGAGTTACCTATCTTTATGGAAAGCGCCGCCCATCTCAAGCACGCCCCGCCCATTTCGGGTGTGTTTCCTTTATTTGCTCCGCCAACCCAATGCTAGCCTTATTCTACTTTTTCCCATCTCCGGGTTGCCTTTTAGCCGAGTTATAGCTTTTTTCAGTGACACGGGAAGCACCGCCCATCTCAAGAACGCCCCGCCCATTTCGGGTGTGTCTCCTATGTTTGGTCGGTCAGGCCTTTGTTAACTTCACTGCACTGTTTCCTCATCACGGGACTGCTCTGGAATCGAGTTATGACCTTTTTCAGTGACATCGCTAACTTTGGACGCACGCCCCGCCCACTGTGGGCGGGGCTTACCATGGGTCATGGGTGCTATTTAGGTTTTGTCCCATGCACTATCCATCCCCACCCTGACCCGACCCCGCCAGGCTCTTCTTCAGGTGCTATGAATTTCGTGACAGACAGACAGACGCACACACACACACACACACACACACACACACACACACACACACACACACACACACACACACACACACACACACACACACACACACACACACACACACACACACACACACACACACACACACACACACACACACACACACACACACACACACACACACACACACACACACACACACACACACACACGGACATAGCGATTATATTAGTAGGATATATTTGGCACTGTCTACCCCTTACCAGTCATCCGGCATCTGGCCGCTTTTTGACGGACTTTTCCCTCCATGAGCAGAATTTTGCTAACGTCCTCTGGGTAGGTTGGCTTCGGAACATGGATATCACATCCCCGGCACGAAACCTCCTGGCCCCGGCCGCAGCGCTGGCGCCAGAATGCGAATAATCATAAACTCGTCAAGAACTTGTCCCCAGGGTAGTCCACCTGAATGCAAATATCACATTCTCTTGGTCGAAATCTCCTGACCACCGCGCCAGAAGGTGCGGGCGCCAAAATGCCTAAATCGCCGGCGCATCTAGGGCGGGCGCCAGTAGATTTTGAGCCAAGTAGATGTGATATTTGTATTGAGGAGGTCGAAATACAGGAGACAACATTTGAGCCAAATCTCTCCACGGAGAAAAAAGTTGGTTAGAAACTGGCACAATTCGGGATGATTGCAGTAAAGGGTGAATTAGTGAAATTCTTCGATTACTGTTTTCGCCTTCCACATCCTTTCACTCACTCAATTTCGTTTATCATCTGTATGCTGTTTATACATACTCAGAGTGCCACAAGTTGTGGCGATGAAAGTCGTCGGCGAGAGGGCCACTGTCAGCAACAATACGTGCAGTACGCAACTGGCTAGAGACAATTCCCGTGATCAAGCGTGAGCAATAGTATTGCGCCAGTCGTGAAATCAATAGCCCATAGTAGCTTCAATAAGCCAAAAAGAAACTTCGAAAACACTCTGAACAGAGACCATCTTACTAGTGGGGCGGCGCACTGGACGATTTGTCGGACCTCGGCAAGCCCAATCAGCAGGATTCAACGTGCAATCGATTCCCTGCAAAACAAGGGAATCATCCTGCGATGTTCCAGGCAACACGCGATTCTGCTTTTAAGCCGTTGTCTTGCAGAGTGGAAGTAGTCCTAGTTGCAATGGTCGCGATACCCACACCTCTCTACCTTCTATCTTGTCGTTTCGGGTGACAAGACAGGTCTATTCTTGCGAATGCGGGTAACGAAACCAAATGCATGGAGGTATACTCGAAATCCCTGAGATACGGTAGGCGTTTCCGCATGTTTCAACTTGACCAGAAGGTGTCTATGCTTCTGGTGGAATATCTCCATCTTGACACAACTGTTATCGTGTCTTCAGACAGAACAAAGATGAACAGTTGTTCAGACCGGGATATACACGAAGTACAGTTCCGTTGCCACGGATTGAAATTCCAACGCCTACCCTGGCTCAGAGGAATAAGGACGATGAATTCCGGAGGACCGATTAGATCACGACAAAGAAACGATCTTTAAGGCTAGAGAATAAGAATTGAGAAATTAGAATTCAGGCTGATATATCTAGGTTCGATACTCCAAAGGAAATTTCTTGATTTGAATTTATCAGGAAGAGTATAAGAACGAAAGGAGGGATTGCACGCGAAGTTTCTTCTCTGATACCTTTATAGCAGCCGCAAACCATTGACAAATAACTGAATAAAAGAGAGCCACAAGAGAAATATTATCCACTATGTAACGAACAAGTTTCCGAAAAATTTCAAGACCCGAGACGGTTATATCTTCGAACTTGTGGAACAGCGTAATTCTACTCTCCAGCGGATCATGTGAGTTCTTCTCAATCAAGGCGCAAAAACGCAGGGAAATTTCAGTGTTCGAAAGGATTTTGCGCTATGCAGCTGACCATCATTTTGACATCGTGTGCGAGATTTTTTTTCTTGTCTTTTTGCATTTTTCTTGGATTCATGGATGCGGCGCATTCCATTCTAGTGTGCCTTGCTCTTGGGAAAGATGACTTTTACAAAGTTTAAAATATCATGGAAGACCATCTGTACTTTTTCTAAACAGAATTTAGTAAGCGAATGGAAACAGAAGAAAAGAACTGGAGAAGGCGAGGTACGTACTTTGTGGCACTGCCTACCTGCGTTTCGAGTGTCCGGCAGCAGTATACCTCACAAGATAGCTAGAAGATATCGCTCTAGCATGCGCCCGCGTCTGACAGCATCCACCAGAGACCTCAGGGCCAGGAAAGTATTATAAGCATCGATCTGGCGTACATCATCGTTACTACCAGCGAACTTCAACAGGACACCAGCAAAAACTTGGATCAGAGAGACAGGGGCGATGAGAGGAGGTAATCAGACGGTCTAAGCTACATCTTAGCAGATTACTGCCCTCCTACACGCCCCATTAACTCCCCAAGTCCCAGCTCTGCGGTAAACGCTAGGGCAAGTCGCTAAGAATCGATACCAATACTTCACATAGCCTCGAACGGCACATGTTAGAGTTGCTGAGAATGCTGCGCAGACCCTCTGGGCAGACGCTGGAATGACCTAGGTGAAGATGTCATATACCTTCCTAGTTGTGAGCGCTTTATTTGCCGATGTTTGGACGCCTGCGCTGGACGCATATTTTGGCATAGACACTGTCGCAATTATGAAAAGCAGCCTAAGAGACGCCGCAGAGGAGGCAATCCAAAGACCTCATGGGACATCATTTTCGATGCGAATTTTAAATTCATATAGGCACGTAAGTAAGGCGAACATGAGAAGCGCTCAAAACCTCCACTCCGACGAAGATTCTGAGTAAACGGGAAATAGTAACAGAGAAAAAAAGGAATATGGGAGTTGTACGTTACGATAAAGTGAAAAGAGGAAAAGTTGTAAATTCCAGTTCCTATAATGCACTCCACCATGGTGGAAAAATGAAGAACAATTTCGACTACCACGATGTGCATGAAACTATTCTTACAAGCACAGTGAACAAGCTAACACTATCTGTACAAGTTCAAATGCCACAAGTAAAAATACAAGAAGCGTAGTATAGATATAAGGGTGAGCCCACAAGTAGTACTAATTCAAACTAAAAAAATGTCTTATTTATTCTTCGTTACAGTGCGTTCAAGCGAATAAAGAGAAAAAAGAAAAACATCCCGAATAAACGAGTAAGCATGTTTTAGTAAGGACCTATTTTGGGGTTTCGTGAGTTCGCCATCTATTTGTTTGGATTTGGAATAGGTTATCAACATATACAGACTCAATCTAGCTTACAGAAAGCCAATAATGATGCAAAGTGCTCCAAAATATTGATGAAAAAAGAATTTCACTGAAATCCTAGCGCTCTAAAATTGTCAAACAAAACCCTCAATGGGGAAAGTAATTCGACTAGTGATAATGGCACCGCCGCGAGTTGCCTCAATAGTGTTGAGTTACACTTGAAATCAGAATGGTAGGCGTGGCTGACCGTAGCGACCATAAATAGGTTGTGCTATAAAATAGATGAAGAAATATTTTACATTTATGTTATTGTCGATGACGATTTTCTCAAAGAAAAATATCACCACAGAAAATAGCCGTATCATATAGACCATCCTTCAAACAGCCTCCAATATCGAGTATAGGCAAACAACCCCCTAACCCCTCTCAGAACTGGACTCCAACCTGACGCTTCCGTGGACCTTTCACATACTGTAGATTCCAACTCCGTTCATCTTGTAAACTTGGAAGTGCTAGCTTTAGAAATTGCACACTGTCCCACTAAGCGCCTGGCCCCAGCTGGTAAATGTGACTTCATCTGAGAAGCATGCAAGTATACCCTGAAGTAAAAGATAGGCTCATCTTGTTCTTGTTCCACCACGTGGCTGTAGCCTAACTGCATGTCCCTTCGCGACTACACGTGATGGCAGCTTCTAGAAGACCCTTGATATACTGGAAGCGCTATAGTAGTGGTTTGCTTCATGGCACAGCCCATGATTGTGTGATGGGAACGGTTGATCATTGTTCTTTCCTCACTGGAGCGTCCATTACATTTAAAACCGTGGGACGATGTCCGCCACAATGAGGAGGCCACAATGGCAAACCGCCTCGCTTGCACTATCTGCAAGGAATTTGATCTATTCAGTGCTATTCTCCTCACGATATGGGTCGGGTTTTTGTATGGTAACATGCTCACACCAATCAACTATCTCATGTTCCGTAGTGATGAGACAGGCAATCCGCCCGATGTTTCATCATACTTCTTCTCGTACTGCTTCGGAGCTCTGTTATCCTCCACCTTAATATTCATGGTGTACTCAGGAGTAAGGTGAGTTCCAGCCCGATACAGACGTGTTCCAGGTCAGCTGTTTGCTTCTAGGTTGAATCGTCCTTTTGTGAATCCTGAGATAACTCTACCATCGCTGGTATCTGGTATTATCTACGGAATCGCCGTCTACTGCTTCTTTCTTGCTAATCAACACCTTGACCAGGTAACGTTGGTTGCATATCGGACTGTTAGAAAGATTGTGGTGGGAAAAACAGAACATCAGTTCATTGGAGCGTGCTCACTTTCCGAGACGAATGGCTCGTAATAGAGCCAGCGTTGAGCCATCGCATTCCGCGATCACTCGTAAGAATTCAAAGCTGTGTGGGGAAGTAAGGCTGCATTCATATTTTGCAACAGCGTCCACTAGCGTTCCGAGCGTCCGGTAGCGTCAGCTACAGTAGGGTAGCAGACTGCTGATAGAGAGTACGACGCGATAGGAAGTTACCAGCTGTCTGCTACCCTTCTATCGCCATACTTTCCTGTTCCGAACTCTGGTAGACGCTGGTGCATGCTGGTCACCACCGCGAAGTACGAACGCAGCCTAACGTGTCACGCAATGGACAATTCTATGCCAGTTCTGCTTCAGAAAGTTGAGGTAGGGCGCTAAAGCTCACTGTAGCGCAAGTGATTCCATCGATTCCGTGACCTTTGTTTTTTTTTAGGCGCAAGTGATTCCATCGATTCCGTGACTAATTTCCGCGTTGTTTTGTACTGTATATGTCTTCTTGTTCTCCTTCGCATGCTCTTCCAATGCTCCTCTCTCCTATCTGATATTTTGCCCGAAATGCCGAAGTGTTTTCACTTGCAGAAAGAAGCTTCCTTATTGGAGCATTTTAGACGGTATCGCCCGCTTTTTCCCTCGAGGGCATGCATACATAGAGTACCCTTCCGCCTTAACCTCGCTACATACTAAGTTTTTGAGGGCTTTGCGCAAAATGTGCCTCTGAAAGCGCGACAGAATATATAAGAGGGTGTCAATGCTTGAAAGAGTATCGAAATAGTCCAACCTCTTTGGCTCACCTTGACTGTGCTTGAATATTATTCTTTCTTACTTTTCATTAGTTCAGCTTAGTATATAACGGTCAACAAAGTACCTCAAGTCAATTTTGCTCGATTGCTCTCCTGAAGTAATTAAGAGACTTGTGGTGGAAAAAAGAAATTAGATGCCGTTCTTGAGATTTTGTTGGTCAGCATGAGGCTCAGCGTAATCCGCAGTCTATAAGAAAGAAAGTGAAGCAGTCAAGAAAGTGAGCTAGAAAGCGATTAAGCGGTAATCCGTATGGCAAGGTTAGCACAAACGGTGAAATGGTGAGGCCTGCTTATTTAGGGTCCTCCGTTTTTTTTGAGGATTATTTCTATCGGAATTGGGCTAGAAGGCACAACGGGAAAAGGCAATAAGCTGGAGCTTTCCTTTCATGTTGCTGGCTATGCGACCCGATCTGCTAGCAGTAGGGTTGCGCAATGCTTGCAGATCGTTGTCACGTTCCTGTGGTATCAAATGGTTCAGTAGGAGCTTCCAGGGCCTATTTGGCCAGAGAACAAACTCTGATGCAAAGCTGTGGTTTACAGTACCAAAAAGTCTTGTATAGGATCAAAGACAGCATTTCCTCACAGCAAAGTTGTCTTTTCTTCATATCAACCATCAATTATGTGAACAGCATAGCACAATTTGCAGTAAAAACAACATTATGAATGTCAGCATTTGGTTGGGCTGACCACTGAGCTTGGTAATTGTCTTCTATTTTCCAGAGATAACAGAGAGACTTATTCCGATTATTCTTGAAGCGTGGTACGGTTCACTGTAATGGCTGACTCGACGGTCTCGCTGACTAGGCCCTTCACACCACCCTCCCCATTGTTCGCTGAGGTTAGGCAGCGTTCATACTTCGCGACAGCAGCGGCGATCGCGGCGATCGTCGGTACGTGGCAGAGCGCGCCCCAACGCTATTGGACTGCTCGCTTGATAAATAAGGAAATCCAACTTGTGAGACCTTCTTTTCTCTTAATAATGGCTACTAGATAACTTACGACTTTCTATACATAAGCGGATCTGGAATATGAGGTAAGGAGGTTTCACTTCTTTTTAGGTCGGGATAAGGCCAACTCCATTTCCTGGGTGAGCTTCTTTTTGTTTTTTTTTTATTATTTCAATTGATGCAAGCGCCTCAAAATTCCTATCGTCTGAACTGTCCAACTTCCGAAAACATTTATAGTTTACAAGTCGAGTTCAAACAACGAAAAAAAAGAAACAGAAAGAAACTCACCTAGGAACCAAAACACTAATCATTTTACGCAACATCAACAGGTGAAAACTTTATAACCTCATGTATAAGCTCGACGAATGAAAAAAGAAACAATAAAAACCTACCCTAAATGAAGCTCTCACGCTTTTTGCTCATTTCTATCCTGAATCAAGAAAGAAAATAGAAAACAAAAGCCATTAAGTTGGGTTCACCTTTCTTTGTGTCAAACCAAGCTTCAGTATCTAAGAAAATTGCAGTTAAAAGGAAAAAAAAAACATGAAACTGAGCCGCTTCTTCCCAAAAGCCTCCGGAGCGCAAGTAATAACGTTGGGGCGCGCTCTGCCATGTACCGGCGATCTCGGCCACCTCGGCGATCGCCGCGATCGCCGCTGCTCTCACGAAGTATGGGACGCTGCCTTGAAGACAATTCCCGCGAGCAAGTACATGGATAGATGGTGTTAGGTTGAGAACTAGGTATAAGTGACTCCAAAATAGAGAAGAAAAAAGACCTTGGGAACACCCTAAATAAAGCCTCTTCTTGACACACGCCTCATTGTACGAGTTCTCCGGAGTTTTCGGCATATCGACACCCTGTGGGATCTGTGCTGCGCTGGCTTACAGCTCGTTTCTTTGCATCTTCCCAGTACTAAATGCTATCTAGTGCTAGGGAAAACGGAAAACAAAGGCACTGCAATAAAAATAATTTTCCAAAACTCTACACATGAAACCAGAAATACGGTAAGCAATGCACGATGAGCTTTGGCACCAAATCGGTTGCATCGGTGCTGAGTTTAAGCTGCGCTCAAACGCATCTTGCCTTGCTGTGTGTAGTACTACCGGATTATCTAACTCAAAAAGGTATGCAGGGAAAGCAGGGCAACCCGTGAGGTAGAAAAAGAGTGGACAAGCTATGACTTCCTATGACGAACATGTGCTATCGTCCCAGCGCGCTGCAGGCAACAGAACATATGCATGCGATTTACCATGTAAGTCATTAACTATAGAGTGAAAATAATAAAGTGCACAAGAGTCACAAGTCCGTAGTCGCTTCATTTCGCCCTTTAATGTGATGAAACTTGTACACTCTACGCGAGTGCGGACCTGGATGCCAAAGGCATGGAGGCATTTCATGGCCCGGAAACTGATGATGGAACTGGGGCGGAAACTGCATTCAAGACCCACATAATAGCACAGTCGATTCAGCCCCGCTACGTAGACTGCCGCATATTTGAAGGCACTTGGCAATGATTCGGTACTCGGCCTAAAATGCTAGCAGGGCACTACATAGAGGGGAAAATGGCGAAAAAACGAAGGTGAAATCGATCAAAAACCCTGCGGAGGAAAAGCCTTCGTTCTTGATGACTCAAAAGCAATTTCGGACGAGTTTCCCGTAGGCATCTTGCCAATAACCGCTACGGTAGGTACGGCTGCACGTATGTACTCATATATCCATGCAGCACCGCGGCCGCTTCATATCATCTCTTTCTCTTCATACTTTACTCCGCAAATGAAGAAATACGTGCATTAGATGCGGGTTCGTCCACTTGTGGGCGGGCGGGCGTGGAGGGCGTTCGGGTCGGTATGTCATGCTTTACAGGGCTCTTATGACGTACCTTCTCCGGAAAAACGCTGCGCAGCGCCTCTTAGGGTCGCGGAATTGGTTCGTGCCAGCGTATCAGTCCTTGCTTCATAGGGATTTAGCGTGCTAACTGCCTTTAAGCGGCCCTACAGACCCTGGATGCATCATGTAAGTAGTTGTCTGTAACGGACGTCGGGTTACATAGCAAAAGCAATCCAGCTGTGTACCAGTTTTTACCGGCTAGTTCAATTAATGGATAGCGTGCATGCATAATTCGCATGCATAAATCGAAGAATTCAAGCTTATGCATTTAAAAATGGCAAGATATGATGACTTCAAATTTTTTCTGGTACTTCAAAGCCACAATTTTCAATGTTTCACTCTCGCATTTCCTGTCATAGTTTACGTTTCCACTACTGCTCACTCATTTTCAGATAGTAGCCTATCCAATCCTTTCGAAAGCACCTGGAGTCATCGTTTCGTTGTGGGCGGTCTTCCTCTTCAAAGAAATCAAGGTTAGAAATTACTTTCACCATTTTTTTTCTGACACAACTGTAATGCGCAGTGCCCCAAGACAGTTGGCAACCGAGCGCGCTCCAATTCCACTAGTCGAAGCGCTTCAAGGTGTGGGGAGTGTCAAAGACGTTTTCAAAGAACGAGTTGGAAGGCGTGCATTACGTCTCGTATTTCTCAGAGAATTCACTCCCTTCTCAATGAAGTTCCGTCCTTTTGTGAGTCGAAATGAAATGTCATATGGAATCACCTTCAAGGGGCTACGAACAGTTCACTCCACTCTTTTCGTTACTATGAAGCTTCGGCACCGGCATGGTCTCTCCCCCTTATCCACGATTTTTGATCGCAGGCTCTGCCTTTAGTCTTACTAGGGCCAGCCCTCCATTACTAAGTAGCGTATTCCGTGTAGTATGCCTACACCCTCTTGCTCACTTTGCATGAGGAGAGAGAGAGAGGTAAAAACAGAGACAGAGAAGCAATTCTACCTACATTATCACAGGGGAGGAAACATATATTAGAAAGTAAGTACTGAGAGCTCGGAATGCGTTTCAGGCCCATTTTCTCCAATTCCCACAGAAATGAATTTGGGCTTTGCGCTTCGTCTAATATGAGTTCGTGGAACTCCCGTGGGCAATGCCTTTACTTCAATACCTCACAAGTTGAGCATCACGTTCAGTTCGAGATGGCTATTATTTTCACCATATCCGGATGGCTATTATTTTCACCACATCTTTCAGGGAACTCGCGATTTGGCCACATTGGCCGCCGGAATCTGCACTACCGTCACAGGTATAGTGCTTCTTACGCTGTCGAAAAATGCAACTCTGAGATGCACTTCGTAAATAAATAATTATTTGAGTGCCTCTTATTACTTGTGATGATCCGAACACTTTTTTCCTACTGTGTTGTGTTATACCAGTTGTGGCATCTTCAAAACTATTGTAACTGGAAAGAGACTACCCCGCTTTTGAGAAACACCTACTTTTCAGCGGCGGCACATAGTCCATGTCGTAGGAAACTTGGGCACTTACTGGCAGAACTCAAGAAAATTTTCTGTTGAAACTTTGCTCACTGAGGTTATTCAGTACCCTGATCACGGATAATACATTCATTTTCGGCGCTGGCGCCATTTTGCGTCAAACGAGTCCGATTTGACGCCATCATTTTTCTCACGGGAATCGGTGAAAGCTTGTATACGGGGTTATTTGATACAAAATCGCGAATATGACTTTCTTAGCTGACGCTATTTCGCGCTAAAAGGTACCCATTTCGATCACACCTCGTCGCGAAACGGAAAATCGAAGATGAAACCCGCTTAAGGGTTCTTGCGGGGGCCCCAAAGTAGGACACCCTG